TCCATAGCATTGACAGTTCCCAAAGCAACTCCTAGAATAATCTTGTGAAAATATAAAGCAGATATGTCCTTTCTCTGCCCCAAAATCCTTGATGGTTCCTATCTGGCTCAGAGTAAGTGCCACTGACCTCCTGGGACTCTGCAATGAGAGTCACCCTCTTTCTGCGATTCTCTGACCTGTTCTCATCCCCCTTGCTCCCAGTGCTACATCTCTCTCCTTGCTGTTCTGGAGCTTGTAACTTTGTTTCTCAGGTCTTTATAGATGCTGTTCCCTTTGGAACATTCTTCCCTCAACTATCTGTATGGTTCATTTTGTAACATCTAGGCATTTGCTCAAATGCCAGCTAATTATTTTTTTTTTTATGCCAGCTAATTCTAAGGGAGATCTTACTGTTTTTAAAATCATGCATTCCCTCCCTCTGCCCACTTTGCATGTACCATTTTTTTCTTCTCAATGTTTTTATTATTAATTTTAATGAAAATTTACAGAGACTTTGGGTTTCCATTCATTCATTGTTGTACTTTTCTCCCTGCCACCCTCCCCCCCACCCCCAGTTCACTCTTCTTTTTGAAAAGCAAAAGAAAAATTCTTTTTGTTTTACAATCCCTCCCCCAGGTTCACTCCACTATGCAGCCTTCGTTCTGGACTCCCGGCATGACAATAATACCTAATCACATATCCCTTTTAAACAGTTTTCTCCCTCATCTGTTTTAATGCAGTATACATAATTTATCCAGTTTTTCTCAGTTTTACCCCAACCCATTCTACAACAGTGGCACTATGCAGTATTTGTCTTTTTGTGACTGAGATATTTCACTCAGCATAATGTCCTCCAGTGTCACCCAATTTGAATAATATTGCATGAGTTCCTTGTTTTTTCAATGCAGCGTAGTATTCCATTGTGTGAATATACTACAGCTTCTCTATCCATTCATTTGTTGATGGCCACTTAGGTTGTTTCCAACTCCTTGCTATTGTGAACAAAGCCACGATAAACACGGGTGTGCATGCACCTACCATTCTTTTCCTGTTGTTTTTCTCTACATCACATGCTTTCTTGTAAGATGTAAAGCACATATCTTGTCATTTTCCCATTAGCTTGTAAACTCAGTTGTACCAGGGATTGTAATCTCCTTTAATTGATGAACCCTTAGTGCCCCAAACAATGCCTAGGACATAGTTATTGTTGTTGTGTACCATAGACTCGGAACTGATCTGTACCTTTTTGAGGCAGTTAATTGCGTGGGAGGAGACTGCCTAGTCTTCTCCCGTGGAGCAGCTGGTGGCCTCAAACTGTGTGACTTCGGGATTGCAGTGCAGCCTCTAGGCCACCAGAGCTCCCTATGATATAGACTCATTTATTGAACAAATGGAATGACATTGAAATATCCTGGGTGGAGCAATGAAAATATGGTTAATGTGGTTTTTTTAGATGTGGGAAAATCCCCAACCCACTGACATAGCGAAAGGCACACATCTCAATTATTACAGTTGATTAATTTTTATCTCATGTATTTAAAAAATTATTCTTTTATAATATTTAAACTGAAAGTTTACACAGAAAATTAGGTTCCCATTTAATTATCCCTACATGATTTAGTCAGTGTTGGCTCTGTCTTTCTACAGTGTGTCATTGTTCCCTCTTATTCTGTTCTAGTTGTACCACTTTTAGTACTCTAGCTTTCCTGCCCCTCTCTTACCTTCTCATCTTCATATTTGAATAACTTTCGACTACTTGACCTCCCATAAATGATTTTTCTTAAGAGAAGCATAATTGATGATAGTTTAACTTTATCAGTCTATTATTATTTAGCTCAGACAGGTTGAGAATCCAGCCAAAGTCAAGGCTGTGGTATTGAGATTCCCCCTACCCCCGGCCTCATTCCTGAAGTGTCAACTTGGGGAGCTGAGGAAATAAGAATATTAAGTAGTTTGTGGAGCAACTCGCTAGGTCTTTGCTTTTGTAAAGACCAGCATTTCTGTCCAGTAGTGTCTTCTTTGGACAGGGGTAACCCCTGAAGTGTGTGAGGTATTATAAGAAACATCAATTTACGAAATTACAATTGGAACTGGTGTTCTGCTTGAAGGAGCTTACTCCTTGGGGGCATGTCCTCAGTCAATGAAATTATTAATCAAAAGACTGCTTAGGGAAAACAGAATTCGCTTGCTGGGTAAGGGAAAGTATTAGGGGCCATGTGTGTGATTGCTCTCACTTAGGCACTTTGTTCTAAAGAACCAAAGGGGGTCATTTAGTTCCAAAGAACCCCACCTGAGTGTGAACAGTAAACTTGGGCAGATTCTCATTTGCACACTTGCTTTTAGTGCCTCTACATTTCTTTGTTCTTTTATGTTCAGAGCTGATGAAAGAAAATGCAGACTTCGTACTCATACTCATGGCAGTCAAGTTAGAACTGACTCATAACTGACCGTCCAGGATTTTTTTCAGACACTATAAATCATGTTGTTGTTGTTAAGTGCATTGAGTCGAACACAACTTATAGTGACCCAAGAACAAAAGACCTGAATCCTGTTCTTTAACTATTGTCATTTCTTTAAGTTCATAGTTTTCAGAGGCATGTTGTTATGGAAGAAAATTGCCCATCTTTCTCCCTCGTAGCAGCTGGTGGATGTGAACTGCCTACATTTGGTTTGCCAGCACAACTCTCTACTGATAAGGTCATTAGAACTTCCTAAAAATTAAAATTCTTCAAACTTACGCATTCTCTATCTTGCATAGACTATTACCCAATACAACCGGTTGCCATCGGGTCTGATCTGACTTCTGGTGACCCCGTTTATGCCAGAGCAGATCTGTGCCCTGTGGAATTTTCAGTGGCTTGAAGTAGATCTCCAGTTTTGTTTTCTGAGACACCTCTGGGTAGATGCTGTCCTCAGCCTTTTGGTTTATTGAGTAAGCATGTTAACATTTTACATCACCTAAATTATACAGTCAAAACTCAAACTCGTTGCTGTTGGGTCAGTTCGAACTCAGCAACCCTGCCCCAGGTTTCTGAGGCTGTAAACTGCAGTGGGAAGAGACTGCCTGTCTTTCTTCCTTGGAGCTGCAGGCAAGTTCAGACCACCAGAGACATGCAGTCTTTGGATAACAGCATCACTCTGGGAACTGTGCCATCAGAGCTCCCCAGATTATGCAGTTGTGGTTGTTGTTAGGTGCTGTCAAGTTGAGAACAACTCATAATGACCCTGTGAACAGCAGATCTGAACCCTGTGCTGTCTGTGCCGTCCTCACAATCTCTGACACACTTGAGCCCATTGCTGCAGTCACTGTGTCAGTCTGCCTGGTGGAGGGTCTTCCTCTCTTTTGCTGTTATTTTCTAATCCACAGGTCACACCTTGCCAGTTTAGCTAGCTTTGGAGTTTCCCAAGCTTTTAGCAGGTATTTGTAGATCGTGTCCAGTGGACTCCTCACCTACCCTGTGCTGCTTGGGGTGGGAGATATTTCTCTTATTGGTCCCACATCCCAGGGGTTGGCTGCTATAGCTCTATGTTCAGTTCAGTCATTGTGCCTAGCATTGGGGATGACACAAGTGTTCCCCTTTTTCCCTTACGGTATTCACTTCCAGTCTAGTAAGAAGGACAGAGATTGAGTACTTGAAAGTTTGATGAGTTTTACGAAAGTGAAAGGATGCAGGGGTGGTGGTCGTGGTGAATCAGAGCACAGGCACCAGATGTCATTTAGAGGTTGACAGAAAGCTGTCTTGAAGAAGGGTCTTTTAAGTCTCAGAGAGTGAGTAGGGGTTAGCCCGGTAAAAGGGTGGAGGGTGTCTGAGGCTCCCGAGGACCTGAAAGAAGTGAAAGGGAGAATAGAGAGAACTTAAGGAATGTCTCAGGGTCTGTTCTTGTTTTCTTATCATTCAGAACTGATCAGGTTTAGGCTACTTTGGTATCTTTAACATAAAAAAGAGCATCTCTGATTCAAAACAGGATCATGTTTACTAGTACAAGAATTAGATTCAATCCATGACAGAATGTCATTAGAATGGTAGCCGAGGGACCAATTAAGAGAGTGTTCCCGTGTTCCAGGCATAAGATGACCATGACTTGGATTTGAGGGGAGTGAGCTGGGCTCAGGAGACCTGGAGGTATTGTGGGATAAGCTAATTTGGGCTGCTGATTGAAAAGTGGGTGGTTTGAACTCCTTGGCCAGAGAAAGAGAAGCAGGCCACTCTCATAAAGATTTATTCTTTGAAACCCAATGGAGTGATCCTACTACTGCGTCCTAGAGGGTCACTCTGAATCTGAGTTAGTGACAACGAACTTCACTGTGGGATGAGGTTTATGACTCTAAGCATGGAGAGCATTGGACTGGTAGGAAAGATGCCAAGTGGAGAAGACAGAGCGTAAAGTAGATGAGCAGGAAGAAAAATCAGGGATGATTGGAACTTTTAACATCTTAAGAATTGAAAAGAGGAAGCAGCATTATAACTTTACTTCCTTACTGTTTTACTTATGTGGCAAATATTTCTTTATGTGGAATTGAAAGTCCTTGAAATTTCACTTGGGGTTTCCAAAGCAGAAGGTGCCTCTGGAGGTTGTAAAGTTAAAGAGGCAGAAAGGTAAGAGACTGAGTGGAGATTCTGTGAGGGAGTGTTCTAGGGGGCTTACAGAAAGGTATGATATCTTGCAGGAATTAGTGATGGGGGAAAGATACCGAGGAATAGTTTATAAGACCTTGTATGGCCTTCCCTGGCTCTCCTTTTAGATTATATGGGTAGTGGGAGCCCACTTCTTTTTGTTCCTTGAAGGACATTAGGAGGGATAACTTGGCAATCTAAGCAGGTCCTGGAAGATTAGTCTTCTTACTGTCCCTCTGGGTCATGTTGGAGGAGAAACCAGGGTTTGCACTGGTGGGCTAGGGATCTGAGTCACAGTCTCAGAAGTCACCATTCCCAGCCAGAAATGACTGGCTTTGTGACTGATGGGCAGTCCCTGAACTTCAGTGCTTAATCTCAATCAGCTCTCTGTTTTTCTGGCTGTAGGAATTGGCTTCAAGTACGTGGCCCTGGGAGACCTCATCATCCTCATCACTTTTGGCCCGCTGGCTGTGATGTTCGCCTACGCCGTCCAAGTGGGCTCCCTGGCAGTCTTCCCCTTGGTCTACGCCATCCCTCTCGCCCTCAGCACCGAGGCCATTCTCCATTCCAACAACACCAGGGACATAGATTCTGATCGGGAGGCCGGCATCGTCACGCTGGCCATCCTCATCGGCCCCACCCTCTCCTACGTGCTCTACACCATGCTGCTCTTCCTGCCTTACCTCATCTTCACCATCTTAGCCACACACTGCAGCATCAGCCTGGCCCTACCCTTGCTCACCATTCCCATGGCCTTTTCCCTTGAGAGGCAGTTCCGAAGCCAGGCCTTCAACAAACTGCCACAGAAGACTGCCAAACTCAACCTCTTGCTGGGACTTTTCTACGTCTTTGGCATCATCCTGGCACCAGTGGGCAGTCTGCCCAAACTTTAAAAGGGGTCCATTTGCTCCCCACACAGGACATCCCTCTTAATGGAATATTCTGAAGTCAGAATACTGTAGAATGGAATGTGATTTGACAGTGAGATTCCGAGTGATGGATGTGAACTCCTGCCCTCCCCCTTCCTGCTTACCCCTCTCCCCTTCTTAAAGACCGAAACTGAGGTTTTGCGTTTTCCTGAGAATCTTGAAACCACTGTTGTCTAAAGAAGGTGAATTGGATGCACAGTCAGTGTTTTGTTGATAATTTCCACTAGAGGGTGTAGTCAGGTCACTTTAAAATGGGCTGAGCTTTCGCTCCATATGTTCAGCGTTCTAAGGCTTTGTGAAGGAGCTGCCCAGGTGGCCTCCTCTCCTGAAGCAGTCAAGGGAACCAGGCAGAGCTTCCTTTGGTTAACTTGGTCTTCTAGGAAATGTTAATGACTGGGTCCAGGCACCATTAGCTTGGGGAGCAACTGTCTTTTGCTCTCAGAACTTGGATCGTGAAATAATATTGCTTGAGAGAGAAAGTCCCTCATTAACAGCCTCGTGTGGCTCTCAGCTTTATGCTTCAGCTTTAAACCAGAAGCTTTTTGCTTCCTCTCTTCTCTTGCCACAGTTGAAGAAAAGTGTCAGATTATCCTGCAGCAGGGCAGTCAAGCCAGAGATGAGCAGGAGGAAAAAACCTCCATGGAGCAGCTGAGAAAATCACTCTGCTTTGGGGAGAAATTGGCTAGGTGTTTGGTTTCCCTTTGTAGAAGCCACTAGAATGACAGGTAGGACTCCCAACTTTTTCATGAACTGCTGAGAACCTTGAAATTGTAGCAACACTGCCATCCTTGTGAGCTTTTTAAAGGCCACAGGGATTTTTTTTACCCCGATCACATCTAATGCCTCCCACCCATTCACTTTCCATCTCTGTTGAGTCCCTGTTTTTGTGTCTACTGTGGAGCAGAGGTAAGAGTATTTAAGCAACAACTCAGTAGTTGAGTTGGGGTGACTGTCACTTCTCACAGAGTCAGAAGATAGGCAGAGCTGGGACATGAGCACTCCTGGTGAATGCATAAGCCGATCAACAGGGAAGTGCCAGGCCTGGCCAGTGAAGGAGCTTTGTCTTCGTCCTTGAAGGCAGATGTGCAGCAGTGACCCTGCCTCTTCAGAGGCTTCTGTTTCCTGGTGCAGTAGGGCTTCAGTGAGGTCACACTAAGAATAGGGAATTCCAACATTGATTGAAACACCATTACATTTCATTGCCTGTGAAGGATAATTTCTGAGCTAGAATTGCTCAGTTGCATTTGGTCCAAGACTGAAATAGATTGAGATCATTATCATGATACATTTCTGTTGAGATTATAGCTGTTGTGGTATTTTAAAAGTCCTGACCTTCAGAAAATGGCATAAGAACTCATTTTTAATCCTTAAGCTTCAAATACTTAGGATTCGGCTAGTTGAGTTAGAATTGGTCAGCTTACTTAGGAAGAACATTTAGAAATTGTAGGTTCCTTTGAAGTTAAAAGTCATTGGTCTACCAGAGTTCTATGATCCTTGTGGAATAGTAGTCAGAGCCCAGGAACAAGAGAGGAGAATGAGCTGCTTTTCCCCTGCCTGCCTTCCCAGCACTGATTTTGTTCTTTGCCATGCTTGTGACATCTTGGTGCTCGCTGGGGAATGGCCTTCTTTTGGCTTCTCCACAGTGCAGGCTGTTCTCACATGGAGCTCACTCCCGAGGCTGTAGAACTAAGAGTTTCCTAGGTCCATGGGCCAGACCTGCCTCTGTAGTCACACATTGTGTTATGGTGCAGATTTTAATGCATATTTTTATATATACCTGTTGCACCATGGCCAAGTTTGGTGCCAGATTTTATACATAAGTCACCATAATTTGTGTTACATCCCTTGACTCAATGAAAATTTTTCTTTAGCCTTAAAATAAAAAAAAATTTAAAATATAGCCTGGCTTTTAATTAATGTTTTGCTCATACTTTTGTTGTCTGTTTGTGAATGCTGACGCAGAAATATCTGTGACTCCATGGCAGGGACCTTGGGACATGGGGGAGGCCCTGTGTTCAGGATTGTACTTGTTTTTCTGGCAGTGAATTTGACTAGAATCTGACTGAACTTTTCTAGCCCAGAGAGAGCCACTTAGAGCTCATATGGATTTGGAAAGAGCCAGTGACGCCAGAATGACTTCCCTTCCTTCTCTCCTTTATTTTCTTCCTTTTTCTTTTCTTTGGTGGGGTCACTGGTCTGAAGAAACAAGACCATCTGTAGCAGATAGAGCACATCTGGGTTTCAGGGAACCATGTGACAATACACACTATAAACAAGGCAGAGACGTGAATGGGTAATGATATAGTGAGATGAATTTCTAAGGGCACACACAGCCTGTGAGAGGGAGCCAGCTATCCTGCAGTGTGTGTGCCAAAAAGAAAAGGAAGCTCTGCACAGCACGTGCCAGTCCTGCCCTGGTTGGCCGGCCCAGCCCTCATTAGAGGCAGAATGAGGACTAATGATTGGGTGGCCGAAATCATCTGTTTTCAAAACCTTAGAGGAAGAGCTATAAAATAAATGAGTGATAATTGAGAGCTTCGTCCATCAAAAGCTGCTTTGATGAGTCAAAGGAGAAACTCGGAGTAAAATACAAGTGACAAACTTTGCTCTCCCAAAGAGCCAGAGTTTCATTGAATTTCAACAATGGATATATCTGGGATATAATGTCAAATCTGAGTCCGATTTGTTCTGTTGGCTGGAAGTTTAACTTCACTCATCTTTTGGGCCCTTCTCACTGCTCTGAAGTTGAGAGAAAGTGCTGGGGCTCTGGATCCATTTGCTCAATTTATGATTTCTGTTCTGCTACTTGATGCTGGGCTATGTCCCTTTGTCTTTGGGGCACTGCTGTTCTGGGAGGGTTCAAAATATCCTGGCAATAGCCTTCCTAAGGCTTGCAGAGTACCAGTCTCTGCCACCCATGCCCATCTCTGTTCCAGCCTTGAAGACATGCCCACTCTCCATGACCTCCCTCTTTCCTCACCCCTTGAAACACCTCAGCACAGTGTTCACCCACCCAGCCCAGGGGGCTCAGTGTTGATCTTCCCTGGAATTAGGCTGGGAAAGAAGATGCCAATGCATCATATTCTAACTTACTAACTTTCCTGTCATGTCTATTAAAACAAGCAAACAAATGGCTTGGCCTGAAGCTTAGATTGAGTCAGTAGTGGGCTCTGACTGTCACAAAGATTAATGCCATCTGAAATGTAATTGATAGGAGAGTCGTGCCCAGAACAAGGAAGAGAATAGTCCTGCCCCTATCTGCACGGGCCAGGCCAGATGGAGGCCAGGCTCAGATTTCTGGGCGTCTTTTTCTAGATTCATCTAAGGCCTAGAAAATGCCATGGAAATCACATATTCATATTTTAGCAAAGTATGTAGTAGGAAATGTGAACTGAAGGGAAATACAGTTAGATGAGCTTTATTTCTGTGTGTGCACCTCAGTAACAACTGTGGCAAAGATTTTATGTTTCTCAGCGTGGGGACCACAACTTTAAGATTTTAACAGCCTGAATCTTGTCCAGAAAGCAATAAACAGACTGGTGAGGGCACTTAAAATCATGTATGTCTGGAAGACTCATGGGAGGGCTGTCTTGAGAAAGGAGGAGAGAGAGAGAGAGAGAGAGAGAGAGAGAGAGAGAGAGAGAGAGTGTGTGTGTGTGTGTGTGTGTGTGTGTGTATTCAGAAGACAAAAACTACAACCAATAGATGGGAGTTAAATATGACTCCTGATTTAAGCTCTTAAATCCAGAAGCGCTTTCTAAGCACTAGAGGAATCATCCATCAACAAGGAGAATCTTTGAAGTGTCCCAGTGGGTGGTAAGTTCCCTATGACTGGAGGCATTCAAGTGAAACGATGAGTCCTTGTCAAGGAACACTGAAGTGAGGAACCAAACACCAATAGAGGTGCTGGCTGAGAAGACCTCTAAGGGTCTTGAAACCCTGAGATATACTTGTTCTGTTAATAGGGGATTGTCACTCAGATCTGACCCCAAGGAGTTGGGAAGACAGAATATAAGGAAGACTTTGACATTTCTCTCGTAATGTCAGATTGTTTTCCTTCTGCCCGTTTCAACGGACAGAGCTATGATCGAGTTTGCTTTCTCTTTTTAAACACACACATACACTCACTCACTCACTCACTCACCCACTCACCTGGCTGGTTTTACCCTCAAAAGCCCTTGAAGTAAGAGTGGATGGCAGCTCCTTCGCTCTATGCCCTGCGGATCATTCTGCCGCTAATGGACTGTCAGCTTTTTTCATTACAGGCTCCAGACTGTGCAGTCTGGTGTAAAAGGCAAGCCTCTGGCAAAAAATCTGGCACTTGGGTCTCAGCCAGTTGACATCTGCGATTTGCCTTTCTACAAATTGGGACAGTCCTCCCACCGTGAGTGTCAATTCCAGGATGCCAGACAGTGCTACAAACCGAGTGGGGGACAAGGCCCGAGTCTTGACTCTTCAGGGGAGTGGCCAGCGGATTCCTGGGATGGGGAAGTGGCACAGTTGCACACTATGCATTACTGCATACTCACTATGTGCCAGCCACTGTGCTAAAGCTGAAAATATCTGCTCTCTTTCAATCCTCAGAAGGACTCATTCAGTGACTGAGGCAAAGGGGGCAGGTGCGTCAGAGACAGTAAGGTCGGCACAGGGTAGAGCAGACTTCAGAGCTGTCATACATAGAGTAGCTCTGAGTTACATGCGACTCAATGGCACATAACAACAACAAACAAGATCTCTCTTATGGGAGAAAATTGAGATTCAAGGAGAATATTATGTTCCTGTCATCTCAAGGGGATGATTACGTTTGCCAGTGATCACCCAGCTATATCAGGTGATAGAGCCACTATTTGAACCTTGGTCTGATTGAGAGTAGGGCTCTGTTCCTCACTCCCTGCCCTTGTGTACTAATGGCATTTGCCTTGAAGAGCTTGCTCAGCTGGTCCGCCCTTAGGAGTGAGAGGATGCTGATGAAAGAGAAACAAGGTGTACCTGAGAGGGGGCTGTAGAAAGACACCAAGACCAGGCACTGTCACAGTTTTCCTGATTCCACTCTTATCGAGGGGCTTATTTAGATGTTCCTAAGACT